TCCTGCTCCCCAAAGCATCTGTGCACCTTGTATTTGTTGTGTGAAGATTCTGTTCCTCTCTCTGATCATCTCCAAACATGCCTTGCACGTCTTTGCTTTAAGCTGTACTTTCTCTGAGTCACTGGCCAATTCTATCTTTTCAGGATTACTATCAATCTTAGTAACAGTTCCTCAGTTGAAAACAAGTCAGTACATTCTCTTACAGTTCTCGGGCTCTATCTGATTAAAAATACAGCATATGCACACTTTAGAGCAGAGGACCTCTCTTGTCTGCCACAGAGGCCCCACACCAACCAGCTGTGGCCCCCACACCTCCAAGTAAATGGCCATTAAAGAGTGTTCATTGTGTCCTGATGCCCCCTACACGGCCATTTCCCAAAGTGCTTGAGCTCTGGACACACCAAGTGTCACCTGGGCCTGCCTCCAGGAGAAGTGTTCTTTGACAGACAGAGCTGCAGAAGTTGTATCACAAGATGTGTGTGAGACGTAGAGTGCAATACCAGCAAACCATGAACTGTAAAGACCCAAAGTTTCAGAGGGGAATTTATTGTATGGGAGCATATCCAAGATCTTTTTGTCAACCATTCATGAGAATAATAAAAAATATAAGCTTTTTAAATGACAAAAAAATAGTTACATATAATACAGATTTTCATCTTGCATTGAAGCAGAGCAGTAATAAAATGCTCACTCGTTTTTTCACAGTTAGTTTGCATTGCTAGGTTAAAGCATCAGCAACTCCAACCTTCCAGTCAGAACCCCTAGTTAGCAGTTTCATGGGGTGATCAGGAGGGTGAACGTTCTCTGCGTTCACATACCCTTTACAAATAGAGCAGGCATACCTGATCCATCTCAGAACTACTCAAATGTTCAGGGGTACCAGCTATGCTTGAAACCAGGCATCCTTGCTGCAACTGAAAGATTTTTGTATCAGAACATGCTTTTAGGCCCAATTCAGAAACACATCTATGGAATACTCAAGAATGTGCTTACATCTCAGCTGGTTCAAAGGGTGCCGAGTTAATCCTTTGTGACCATCTCTGTTTGTTCTGCCCCTCACAAGCACTGCACAGGGCTGTGGAGCACTAACCAGTATTTGATCACGTGTAAGACCACAAAGGATTCAAACATTCTTCAGCACTCCATTTACTTGAGACCTCAATGCATTTGCTGCATGCATACATTTATGTATATAATACACACACCCATAACCCTTCCCCGCAGTATTATTGCAAGAATTCTTTGCTGGTATAACAGTTTATACACCAAGTTTTACTTACTTAGTTTTCTATAAACATAGAAAAAAACCCAAACATCTGAAGAGAGCTAGAACAGCTTTCAATCAGTCACTATATTGGCATTGAAAGCTTTATTTTGAAAACTTGAAGCAGCAATACTGAATAAATAGACAGAATGATTGTTTTGTCATCTCCATACAACCGATGGCCTTCATCCAAAACATTAAAATACTGTAGCAAATAGAATAAACATGCATGTTTCCATGTTCTTAAAAAAAAAAGTGTAATATAAAAGTAACACTTTGACACTTATTTTAATACAGTACAGACCATTAGAGACTATTTTCTGGAAAAAAATATCTGAATACAGTTTTGTTATTTACATGGATCATTAAGGCCCAATTCACTCAAGTTAATGCACATCAGGAATTTATATGCTTCAAGATAACTCACTAAAAATTACAAGCTCAGGTTTTTTTGCTTGTAATCATATGATCCCAGTTCACTAAAATAATGCAGTACTCTTCATGCTAAAAACAAGGCAATTGTTGCCCCAAGAGGAGATTTTTCTTTCACTACAGGATCTTTTCCCTCTTACCTCACAATGAAAGCACTTTTGCATAATGCTAATGCCAGTCCTCTTCTTCAAGAACTTACTTCAAACTTGCTAGGGTTTGGAAAAGCAAGTAATCTCAAAGCTAACATACCATTTCCAGAAGCAGTTCAGGCACTTGGGAACCTAAGTCCCACTGAAAGATAACAGAAGGCAGGTTCCTAGCTGACTTTTCAGAGTGGGGCTTGGGTTTCTCTGTTGCTCAGGCATACAGAATGTTTATCTTAGCCTTAACCTACTGGCTTTTCAAATGGTCAAACCCTCCGTTCCCCACCCCTTTTCCCCATACAACATAGCATCACCAGCAAAAATAAACTGCATACTCATGGATGAGAGAGGTAACACAGTTAATTTCCATTAGTAATAAATTACAGAAGTTCTCCATATAAATTCCCTGTGCACTGGAAAATAGTGCTTTTGTATTCAACTATTTAACACAAGCAAAAAAACCCATTTTTACCATGCTGGCCAGTAAATAATATGGCACTTGTTAAAATTCATATGTGTAGCTTCCATTCTGCTAATGCCCCATAAGGAGGTTTGAAACACTTCTGAAAATGAATTTTTCTACATTGGTAAAGGAAGAGTGAGGTTCTGCAGTTGATCAGAAGCAAAATTCTTAATGCCGTAAGGTGAGGAATTTTTGTAACTGTAATACTTTGTCAATTCACATTTAATGCAAGGGCATGCCATTTCTTTTTGGTTTATTTACAGAGAGGGTGAAAATGCTACAGAACTTCAGCCTGGGTGTAATTCAGTAAGCAAGAGAAGTAGAGTGAGGGCAGGGGAACTTGTCAGTCTCACAAATGACAGGTTTGGCTAACAAAGCCTCTCCTTTGAAACAACTGAGGCTGAAGCTGTCAATGCTTTCCAGATCACCTTGACATATGCTAAAGCCCTGACAAGGAGGGTCCACTCGGTGGTGCTGCAATGGCTTTGAACCAGCTCCAGGCTGGCCCTTGTCAAACAGCTGCTGTAATCAGCAGGTGCTATTTTTTCACTTAAATGGCAATTTCCTTCCTTGATTCTAAGACAAAGCCATAACTCAA